TACGTCGAGTTCGGCAACAATACCCTTTCATTTCCGAGAAGTCTGCCGAAGAGATGGCGAAAAAGGAGTTCAATATGGCCGCAAAGTGAGGCATTTGAGTTTTCATTGAATACAGCAACAGAAAATCCTAATTCAGAAAGATATTTCTTCTGACTATCGGTATGGCACGACATCTACGGCCATACGCTCGATGGGGTTTCTATGGATTCCCGTACTGTAACTATGATGCAGGCACGTCCGAATCCGACATGCTTTGCAGCGAGAAGTTCCGACGATTCAATGATGAGTGAGTTCTGTATTACATTCAAATAGGGTACTATCCCGAATGCAGAGTAAAAATTAGGTTATTGGCCCATAGGCGCAGTCCACGCTTGTCGTGTGGGCGGAGACACAACAGACAGTCGGCCATTGCGCAATCGTTATTTGCGCACCCTTTCTGTCTACGGTGCTCGAGGCGGGGTAGTCGGTACGACCCCTCCCCACCTCGAGGGAGGGTCTCGGTACGACCCCCCCCTTCCCCAGCACCTACCTACCAATTTCCACATTTTCCAGTTTTTCACCCAAAAATTTTCCGTTGAGCGGAAGGGGGGGGGAGGAGAGCGGGGAGTATAGTACACATCAGACAGGAAAAATTACGAAAAGTCATTAACCGAGAAACATTTTTCCCTTTCTCCCAACACGGCAAATTCTTTTCGAAGTCCGCTCCTTAGAACGACCAAGTACGACCCCCCCTCCTCTCTAGACGGAAAGTACGACCCCCCCCCACCCAGTGTTTCACACAACGATGCTGTGCGCTGACCGAAAAGAGCGTACCGACGTGGACGGCTGGCAATCCCTCTTAACGTAAGCTGTGCCTCCGCCTTCATCTTATGTGCGCTATTTCACTTTGTGCCCCTCACTGTTCACTTTCTTTCCTATCTTCTCACGAATCGGCTCCTTTTGTTAATGTATTGAGCGATATTATGTTCAGGATCTCGTTTATATTCAAAGCAAGCACGGCCTTATTCCCGTCAATCTATTTGAGCATGAAAGGGACTAGCGCTCAAAACTACCGGTATATTTCAGGTTCGTTTCAAGTTCGAGATTATACTTCATGGGTTGGTTTGGCTGCGGACTCCATTTGAATGCAGCGACTTGAGGGTATTTTCACTGGGGCAGCTTTTCATTTTTTTTCGAAGCTAGATGAGAAAGCACAAAGTTGCCCCATCAAGGGCGTATATCCGCATTAAAGGTGAAAGCTACAGCCACAGCCACCCCATCAAGGATTTTCGTCATTCCGTGCTGCTAGATGACTTAAACTTTGCCTACCTTTGAATGGAACTACATATGTAGTATGTATGCGCTTATCCTATCTACTATCCTATATATATAATCCGCTAAGTTTGTCTGTTGGTGTGTGTGTGTGTGTGTGTGTGTGTGTGTGTGTGTGTGTGTGTGTGTGTGTGTGTGTGTGTGTGTGTGTGTGTGTGTGTGTGTGTGTGTGTGTCTGTATGTACGTTTGATCGGAAATTCATAACTTCCTTTAATTTCATCGCAAGGAGTCCAAATTTATGAGTGATGCAGGAGGTGGGACAGGAACACTATTGGTGGGTGGCAGGAAGTGATGACAGCTGATAAGATACCATAAAAGGCGTTAGAATGGGAGAGTCTCCAACTTTATATATTGGGCCACAGCAGCGATGCAACATTTTTTCCAATTGATGATATATAGGGGGTAGGTCGGGAACAACATGGTGGGCGGCAGGTGAGTAACAACTAATAAGACACCATCAAGGGGTTTAGAAGGGGGGGGGGTCACCAAATTCATACCTTTGGGCCACAGCAACGATGGGACGTTGGTTCAAATAGGTGATATAGGGAATAGCTTGGGGTAAACAATGGCAGGATGTGATAACAGCTGATAAGTCACCATAGAAGGCGTTAGAAGTAAACGTCTAGAGATGTTCGCCAATGAGGAATGATAAGAGCCACCGACAGGCTGATACGTGAGAATGCTTCACTACTTTTACGAAAGATATAAAGGCATTTCAATCTCGATATTGTTACCATCAAAATTCTTTCGACCGCTAGGCTGTCCGTATTTCCAACGAATGGAAGATGTTTTCAGAAGTGTGATAAGCACTAGGCACTGGCAATCGATCATGAATGAGGGGATATAACCAGATAGGTAGCTTGAAAATAAAAGTTAAGCTGGAGTTTGTTGAAGGTTGCTGTAGATGTACTGTCATTTTTCAGTTGCACAGGCTTAATCATTAGATGCGCGCAGAAGTGCGCGTTAGCCAAACTGGTATATTTATACATGTTTATTAAACGCCCGATATGGACATGTGAATATTTAAAACTATGAACAACGAAAAACTGGGAGATTCCAACAGAGAAGAACACGACCATAAGGCCATAACTAAGAGATTATTTGTTAAAACGACAAGTGAAGAAAAAAAAGCACCAGTAAGTGAAATAAGTGCGAGGTGAATACAATAGGAAGGCAACAAGAAGCACACTAAACTAGCTGATTCCCTTGAGATAAGTCCCTGAGATGAATATTCCTCCTTCTCTCGTCTGTAGGAGGAATAACTGAGAGGTGGAAGAATGCGTCCGCTAAACTTAGCGTACTCGCTGCCAGCACGTTGAGTAAAAAAGTGACTACGAACCGAAACCCTGGCCTTACTGAAGCGCAGCTTGATAATCTCACCTCTAGTAGAGGAGCAGAAAAAGAGAAGAGTTAGGGGCAGCAAAAAGCATGGTGCCATGAACGATTTTGTATGCAGTTTCAAATCATTTCCCAACTACCCTTTTTAGCGGATCCAAACTTACATTTTATTCCTAACAAAGGCATGAGGAATACTGTTGTAAGAATAACCAAGAGCCCTCATGAAAACCTCCCTGGTAAAATTGTTTTGCACGCATTCAGTGGTCTGAATAGCATTCTTATTTCGAGGAGGAAAAAATACACACGTTCCATAGGTCTGACGTGCATTTTGTAGGCCTTGACCAGAACAAGAGGATCCCTGCTTCTTGAAGACTTCAGTAATAGTTGTTGCATAAGTTCTTATACACGACTTTTTGGTAAATATCTCAAAACGAACCAGCTTGGACATTAGATGTATGCACAGCTTGTCGATTCCATCCTTCCAGAACGACGGAGGCTGGGACTTGAAGAAGTCGTCGAGCGCCTTTCTGACCTGATCCTTTGTTTCGAACTTTTTTCCGTCCAGATAGCGCTGCAGGTGGCTGAACAGCCAGTAGTCAGAAGGAGCGAGGTCAGGGCTGTAGGGAGGGTGGGCGACCATCAGCCATCCGTACTTCTCCAGCTCGGCCTGGGTCGCCTTTGCAGTGTGAGGTCGGGCGTTGTCATGGTGGAAGTAGATTTCCGCACTCGACGTGATCTTTCAATTTCCGCAGCTGGGTCACGTATGTGGAAGCGTCAATCGTCTGTCCCTTCTCCAGCAGCTCCCAGTACTCCATGCCTCTTCTGGACCACCAACAGGACAGGAGAACCTTTTTGGGGTGAAGGTCGGCCTTTGGGGTGGCTGGCTGTTCTCCTTTGTCGACCCACTGCCGCTTCCTCACAGGGTTATCGTAGAGGACCCACTTCTCATCTCCAGTGATCATCGAGTTGAGAAAGTGAAGCCTCTTTTGGAAAGTGAGGAGAGAAGTGCAGGTGGTCACCCTCCTCGAGAGGTCATAAGCGGACAGTTCATGTGGGACCCATCGACCAAGCTTTGCTACCTTGCCGAGCTTTTCTAGTCCACGTGCAACCGTCGAATGATCATAGCTAAGCATGGTCGCCATTTCTCTGGTGGTGAGGTACGGGTCCTCCTCCACGGTGGAACGTAGTACTTCCAAATCCAACTCCATCGGCCGACCCGACCTCGGAGCATCTTCGAGAGGGAAAAGTCTCCTTTCTTAACCAATTCTTGCATGTAATGTAAGATATGACGTCCTCACCGTATGTATCCACCAGCTTGGTATGGGCTTCCTTTGCATTCCAGCCGAAATCGTGGAGCACCAAACAGTGGCGCAGGTACGTTTCTGTCACAGTGGCAATTGTGCGACATTGTGTACTGCAAATGCAAGCTCGGTGAGTGATAGCTAGTGTAATGAAAGAGTATAATGTACACGTCACGCACACGTGATGACGTAATACCAACATCCATGCGAACGAAATAGGAGAGGATCAAACACGTGTATAAGAAGCAACAACCAATCAGCCCTTGCATCAATTTGAGGCAGTGAGGTCCTAATCAAGGCTGCTATTACCTACGAAACCAGGGTATGTGATTTTAGAGACTGCCTCAGTAGGTCAACCACGGATAATATTTATTACTAGGATCGCACTTACCTAAATGCAAAGTTTGGTCCTGTCAAGGCTAATAGGGGCCCCAAGTCATAGACCACTCATATGCTGTATCGTATCTGAATCGACAAGTATTTGTTCGGGGACTTGACAGGGTTGCATCTTTGATATTATGAACATTCGGCAAGTAACTGCAATATTCCTCAGGTAAAAAGGAAGTTTGAAGGTGTAGGTGTTAAGGAGGACAGGAGACAGTACACCACCCTGAGGTACATCACACGTACAATGTTTTACCGAGGAGAAAGAATATTAATCCTATTATTAATCCTAACTTGAAAAGTGCGGCCAGGTAGAAATGATTCAATCCACTGGATTATCTTAGGATGGACATCCACACGCTGTACCTTATACAGTGATCTGTTATGACAGACTTTATCGAACGCTCTTGAAAAATCAAAATATGTTATGTAAACATTGGATTTTTCGTCTAGAGCTGATGTCCATTAAGTGGCAAGAAACATTTGAGGAACCTAGACTTTCCCTTTCTGAACCCATGCTGGCACTCTGGTAGGACCCTGCTTCAATCTCAAGGTGTTCACCAATTATTTTTTTGATAGTTTTTTCGAATAGCCTGCAAAAGACATATGTGATCTGAGGTCCACAGGCCTGCGATTCCTGGGATTATTGTGAGATATCCTGGTTGAACTCCACCAGAGAACATCTATGTGATCTTCAGTGGGGTAATGGAAACGTTTGGTCGGGTGGTCATAAACTGCTTCAATCCTTTCAGCTCTGGAGAAGGCGATCCGGCGATAGGCCAATAAAGGTTAATTAACAACCTCGTGTGGAGTTCAACCAGGATATCTCACTATCATCACAATGCCGAGGTTTCATGGAGAGCCGTACATGGCGTTTACTACGCAACGTGCCAACTCAGTATCACCGGCTCGTCAAAGAAGTTCTATCTCTGAGACAAAAAATTGTCTCAGCTCGACAATCGATCTATTTCCTTCGTCGCTGCCTCGATCATCGTGTAATACCTAATTTTATTTCTAGAAAACATCTATGTGATCTGGTAGGCAGCCCTAGGGCGACCCCAAAGTGTTGGACATTGAATTGCAATTGCTTCGAGCAGCTCTACGTGCTAAACGTAATCACATGTTTACCATGCTGAGAAAGTGTGTATCGAAAGAGCAATGCTGTGCCCGATATTTGGAGGATCGCCTTTGGAAAAGGATCGTGGGTGGGTCGAAGTCGATTTGTGATCTTATTCGATCTAACGTCAAAACTAACTTACAAAAGAAGTTCGATAGTCTTTGCAGCACATCACGTAATCTTAAAGTGGGGTCGCGGCGCACCGTGACTGGTCGGAGCTCCAGCAACCAGCACGACAGAGCAATCGGACTTTTCCCAATCCAGGGTGACCATATTGGAAGACTTCTCCTTATCTCACTGCGCGCGCTTCATCCTGAAGTTGGGTCCTAGTTTTTCACCATCTCAGCCCATCTCCACGGGAGTTCTCCGCAAAGTCATGTGCAGTTTGCATGAGCTCCAAGATCGACTCCGTCATAAGGCTAAGACTGATAACGGATCTCTCTGGCCTGTCCAGACGAGCAATGTGCCGATTGTGCCCTTCCCTCCCATGTATTTCAGACGGCAGGAACTTAACGCCAGTTCCGATGTCAGCTTCCGTATCTTCGCTGATGACGTACTAAATGTGCTCAGTAGGTAACGAAAGCAACACATGCCATCAAATCTCACCCGTGAACAAGCGAATGGTCTTAGGCAGCTGCGAGAGCTGATAGCTTCTCTTACCATACGTCTGTCCGTCAGTGACAAAGGGGGAGAGTTCGTAGTAATCCCTCGTGATCTTGACCACGATATCACCGAATATCATTTGAGGGATACCTCTCTCTATCGACCATCCAGTGAAAAAGCTTTCCAAACGCAGTCACGCAACCAGCAGTGGATAACGGTAGCAGGTCAGCAGGTGCTTAGTCCCTCCTTGGATGACACGCCTCAAAATTGAGACACCGTGTTGTCCTGTTTTGTATCTGCTCATAAAAACACACAAGTTTTCGGCAGCAGACGACCTGGCTTCAATCAGTCCTAACTCGGTGAAAGTTCGGCCTATCATCAGCTGCGTGGGTGGTCCCACTGATCGGATCGCTTGGTTTCTTAATACCATATTGGTGCAAGCTACTTAAGCACATACCAGCCCACCTAACCAATACTCAAATGTTCCTGGAACATCTCCATGCACTGCGCCTGAATGGCGCTTGCATTATGGAATCATTTGATGTAGAGGTCCTTTTAATAGTGTAAGTGTTGCGGGACATGGACTCCAAAAGAGGTCCTGCAAAGGCGTCATCATATTTTACATATACCTTTTGAAACTCATCAGCTAAAGTTTTCGCCTTGTCGATATCAGCAATAGCAAGCAATCCACATGTATTAAGAGGAGTAGAAATTGTGCTTCTGAAATATACCCGAGACTTCATATTATTATAGAGGGAAGATTCGTTTTGCGCCCCCACTATTTTTCTCTCGACAGCACAATTAAGCTTATAAAGGCAATTTTTTGGATGACTTACAAACTTCTTGTCCCAGAATTTTTCAAATTTCTGGGACAGAAGTTTGTAGGTCATCCAATCTTGTGAATCGTTACTTCACATGGTCTTTTGTAAGCAGAAATTTTCTTAGTAGAAAGACTGTGCAGATAGGGCGGCAAATTCTTCCCTGAAACTGGAATTATTTTGGTGGAGATAAACAATTGATTACAATGCCTGAGAACAAATAAAAGGCAACTCTTACATCTCACTGGTGTCCTTGCATCCACTGAAGCACCCGATCCAGTTGATACTAAACAGGTATGAAAGCACACTGAGGTAGTTCCCGCTCTTTAAAATCATGTCTGAGCACAACTCTGGTTGCACGAACAGAAATTTGAGATCGAGAGTGATTACTGCGTTATCGCTACTGCCTAAGGGTACACTCAACTCCAAATTGCGAATAGCGGATTTGTTATTGCAAAGAATGAGATCAAGGAGTCTTCGATTCTAAGTACAAAAATCGACAATTGAAAGTACTCATGATTAAGAAGCATGGTAAGAAACGTCTCTGTGTGAGGGGATTGAGCACAGGGTTTAGAAGATCACGCTATATCGGAAAAGTTGGAATCTCCCATAGGGAGACAGGTGGCCTGACATGAAGTAAGATCACTTATACATTCAGTCATCTGTTTAGTCTTTTCTGAACCACACTTAAGGGTTCCATGCCCTGAAATCAGTCCAAACGAAGATTCAGAACAATGAAGATCGAGAGCCAGGGTCTCATAACCATCCGCTATGCTTTCAGAGAAAACCAGGCTGGGAAACAAAGTCTACTTCACAAGTGAAGTCACACCTCCACTCTTTTTTTCTTTTTCTATCACACCTGGAAATAATGTAGCCAGACAAAGATCCCCAAAAGTGACTCTACTAGGATCTTAGATTTGAGCCAACTCTCAATTATAGCAACAGTACTATACTCAGATTTAGCTAAGTAACACGCCAAGGCAATAGCGTTTTTGTGAAGTGAATGTATATTGGTCAGAAGGCAAGAAACCCAAAACCGATGAACGCTAGTTGTTTTTTGAGAAAGGCAGCACATCCCGATCAGTCGCTTGAGAGTTATTTTGGCGACTAGGCCTTTCGCCTGCGCTTCCCCTCTTCCAATGGGAGTGAAGGGCGTATGAAAACTCCTTTATGAAAGAAGAAGCGCAGGCGAGGAGCCTGCCATTAAACCTCTTTCCGGAGTTTACTATATAGAATTACTTTATGAGCCTTGGCTTTTGTGGATCTCTCTTCCTCATACTATAGCGAAATAGGAAGGCATTCGACATCCAGAAAGTTAAGCAATGAATGATACAACAGGCGTCATTATTAAGCTGCCTTCTGAGACTTTTCCGCGTTACATCCAGGGAATCCCGTAACAAGAATACATCATGTCAGGATCATCAAAACATCATTTGCATGACTATTAGGATACTGAGTGACACCATTCGAAAAAAAAACAGAATGCAATTGGGTAGACTTCTCAGAAAATAACTGCCATTTAAATTTTAAGAGAGAGTTTTCCTCACTGTGCTTCAGGTTTTCCTCCTGAATCGCGTCGTTTTTTCTCATGATGTCGAGGAGCTCGCGCCTTATGTTGACCGATACATCAATACCCACCTTCACAGTCATGGTCGAAACGGTAGTTCTGCAGTTTATTCTGTGCCGAATTGGAGACTTGTGGCGAGACGACCTCACGCGAACTTTTCACTGGAACTGATGACGAACGAGACGGGGAAATCATTATAAACTAGCTAGCGAACTAGGATGATTAGCGGGCAGGATCCTAACCGTTGATCTATCGATCGTGATCCGATGAATGAACAAAAATTTATTAAACTATGTGGCGAACACGCACCATAAAGTAACACTTCTCACGCCTCGTCACAGGGACGGACACAAGCAATTAGTATTCGGCAGTCCCACAATAGAAAGAAGTCAAGGAAGTCGAAGGGACAGCGAGTACTAGCGAAAACCGGCGGGACGTTGTCAAGAGCCGCCGCCCGCCGTCAAGGATATCGACCGGAATGACCGGACATTGTGGAATGTCAGGTGACATCCTTCCTGATGACAGCGCAGGTTGTAGCCTTTCCGACTATGACAAATTGGCCTTATAGAAACTAATAATATAGGACAGGTCGAAAAGCGCTTGACCTGGGGAGCTTCAAGCTCTGAAAGCTTTCACAAAGCCGTAGTATACTCGTCTGCAAAAACCTTGGAGAACACTACTCACTATCGCCTGTAGAAACACCTAAGATATATTTCGAGTCTTTTTCCAAAACAATTCGTTCGGAGTGTTGCAGGACATTTATCCAACCCAATACACTCACTATCCACAATTTTTGTTTCTTAGCGCAATCCCCCCCCCCCAAGTCGGGATACAAATTGAAAAGGGAATGGTTTGAACTTCCCATGAAACTTAATGGAGACCTAGGTACATCGATAGAGCCTCGAATGCTGATTACGAATATGCAGATTAAAAGTGCTACGGGGACCTCCCAGACGAGATCTGGGTGGTCAAAGTTTGAGTTCTGGCTCGTAAGCGCTGCTGATCGATGCTTCGGCAGTGCCACCGTGGCCTCGTGGTAATGGTCTCGCTTTCAAGTCAAACGCATGCGGGTTTGCATCCGGTTGGCGCGAAAATTTTTGCTTCGCTCCGTATAAGAGCTTCAACTCTAATTTTCGAAATTCTTCCGAATTTACGGCCCAGCAGGGCAAGTAGATCAAGTATACGACGTACTCGATCTAGTATGGATTTGGTCATATCTGCCCTCTCTGAACATATTACCCATCCGACAATTCAAAGTTTTAGCGAGAAATTCGTTCATGGGAGATTTCGACCCCCTGAACACGAATATCACATCCTTCGACGAAAAAACGCTCGTCTGGCCAAATTGCGATTCTGGGCAAAACTTTGAATTGTCGGATGGGTAATATGTTCAGAGAGGGCAGATATGACCAAATCCATACTAGATCGAGTACGTCGTATACTTGATGTACTTGATCTACTTGCCCTGCTGGGCCGTAAATTCGGAAGAATTTCGAAAATTAGAGTTGAAGCTCTTATACGGAGCGAAGCAAAAATTTTCGCGCCAACCGGATGCAAACCCGCATGCGTTTGACTTGAAAGCGAGACCATTACCACGAGGCCACGGTGGCACTGCCGAAGCATCGAGCAGCGCTTACGAGCCAGAACTCAAACTTTGACCACCCAGATCTCGTCTGGGAGGTCCCCGTAGCACTTTTAATCTGCATATTCGTAATCAGCATTCGAGGCTCTATCGATGTACCTAGGTCTCCATTCAAAGTTCCATGGGAAGTTCAAACCATTCCCTTGTAAGAAACAAAAAATTGTGCATAATGAGAACGTGTTTGTTGTAAAGTGCGGTTGTGAGGCTGTGGCAATCTGCGGACAGCTACCGGTTTAAGTAAAAAGGCATAGGATTATCTTGTGTTGTTCACGCTATCTTATGCACATGCACTATGCACTAATTGCGTTTGTTCCTGGAACGGCAACTACCTACCATCATCGCGCTCACACAATAGATCCGTGGAGCCTCCCTTTCCAATGCAGAAATATGGAGTTGAGTCGTTAATGGACATCTTGCTTTGCTGGTAGATAGTGTCAGCATGGTTGTCGCATCTTATTTCATCTTATAGCACCCTAAACTTTAACTGTCTTTGTTCAGGCAATACTAGTGGAATCGTCTCGAATCGCAGCAACGCAGAATCCTCCGATCGACGTGTATCCATATACTAAGTTCGAATATAATCCATATCAATATCTGGATTCGTTTTATGCAAAGGTACGCAGCACCAAATCGCGTAACTCATCTCCTGTTCAGCTAACAACAGTGGGACCTACCAAATGGCTTCCTCAGCCATATTGCTCTTTCCAAGCTCTTCTAATCACCTTGAATTCTGCTATAACTCGTGAAAACTCGTGAAACAAAAGCATAAGAACGCCTTCAGTCTTCTTGTGAAGCGAGAAGCGCCTTCAGTCTTACTGTTTTCTACCAATAATGGCATTGCTTGGCTCTTAACTGTTGGTAAAAAACGCGGCCGCCGCTGCGCTTCTAGTCCACCAGCGCTAGACGGAACCAACGTTCTACAAATTATTTCTCCCGCTAAACACAGCGACTTTTAGAAGGACGTGTGCAACTCATTGAAACAGGCAGCCGATCTCGGAGCTCGTGGAGTAGTTTTGTGGAGTAGCAGTAAGAACATGAAGCAACGGTGTGAAGGCCTAGCCGGATACGTGCGCAATATGCTTGGACCGTGAGTCAATCAATACGTTCAACGTTATTTCAGCTTTATGGTATGTAGGTGGTGGTGGTCATATGGTACGTAATGGTGGTGGTCAAAATTTATAGGAACTTATCGTCAAGATCTAACAACATTTCAATATTTTTTATTTGTCGTTTCCAGTTTTTTCACAATTACAATTATTACAATTATTACAATTATTAGAATTAGATTTTACAATTATTAGAATTAGAGAAACTAGAAACAAGTACAGCTGAAGGGCTGTCTTTGTCTATAGAAAAAAAGGTGGATTGGATTGCCTTGTACTCCACAGCGGTTTCTGCTGTTTAATTTTTGGCTACGAAACAAGCATAAGAAGTGAGAATGTTGAAAACAACAAACCAACTTTTAGATGTGTGTGCGAAATGTCATCATGGTGCGGTACATGGCGTTTCCAAAGATTTCTTGGAGAGCGACAACGATAGTATTACCGGTTCCATGATGGGTTGACAAATTATAGCTTTACATATCATAAATGGGAGCGACGCTCCACCCTAGTCATATCATTCCAAAGATCTCAAAAGCAATGACCGCGATTGAAATCCTTTGCGAGATTTCCTGGGGAATTGGCCATATCTCTATAGGTGATGAATATTTCGTACCGCAGCTAGGGTCTCGATAATGGCTTTCGACCTGGACAATGCTTTTGAAGGAGACTGAAGTCCATATCTGAGGGCGGTACCTTTGTGAGCGATGGTGAGCGAGAGTGCAGACGAAAGGGAGGCACAGACGCATATACAGTATCGCTCAAAGTATCCGGCCAAACGGTTTTCGGCTCGTACCTTTTTTTCACGACCAGTTCCTCACAGATATTCTACTATTATTAGCAACGGACAGCAGTGTTTGTCCTTGAATATGGTGCAAGGTCCGCAATTTGTTGCGCAACAAGTAACTTCAGTGTCTACGAGGCCGGCATATCGTTTACATTTTTCACATTTTGAGGAGTTCTACGGCATTATTTTTGAATGTCAGAACAAGAGCTTGCTCTTTACAGTGGTTCGGACGGAGATTGGAACCTCGGACACCGAAAAAAGTTACCATTATCATGAAAAATGTTGTCGTGAAGGTGCGCATTCTCTGAGTATTCTGAAAGTTTCTGGACTCAGAGTGCTATCGCGTTCCTACGACCGTAGTCATTTTTCCGAAAACCGTTACATTATAGTTGATGTCTGTTAGCCAGATAAGATAAAATCAAAATATCCCAGACCCCCATGCGTTATAAAGTCTTCTTCAACAATACTCAATGAGTACTCGATACGAAATTTTACTAAGTATAAGTACTAAGTATAAGTACTATAAGTACTAACCAGACTGAACTCCATCTAATAAAGTCGCTAAGTCCATTAGCCAGGATGAACGTATCACCCAACCTCACCCCAAGCACACTCTGTGTTTTTCCGACAATCCATTGACTAATATTTATCTCATCAATGGCTCAAAGTCGACGGAAGTGGAGTTCGCGCCAGCGTACGCCTAGCGTTTCTCCAGCGTTTCACCAGCGTTTTGCTAGCGTTTGCAGCGGCAGGGAGTAGAGACTATGTGGCCGTCAGAGACGCGGAATCGATGTGTATTGTAGAGACTATGTGGGCCGTCAGAGACGCGAATCGAAGTGTATTGTAGAGACTGTGTGCCCGTCGAGACGCGATCGATGGCACATAGTCTCTACAACACACTTCGATTGCGCGTCTCTGCAGGCCCATAGTCTCTACAATACACTTCGATTGCGCGTCTCTACGGCCACATAGTCTCTACTCCCCTGCCGCTGCAAACGCTAGCAAAACGCTGGTGAAACGCTGGTGACGCTGGTGAAGCTAGATCGATATGCATCCTCTCCTCGGCACTGCCGCTGGCGTACGCTGGAAGCGCTACGCTACGCTGCCGCAAAGTATAAACGCAGCCTTAGAGTCAGCCCATGAGCGACGGGCGATGCGTTTATCCTGGAGAACAGTGTCACAGCGCCCCTCGGGACAGTGACGTTGGCCTTAATGTTGCGAACACGATGGCACTGTGCATTCAACTTTCAGAGATCTCGGGAAAAGCGCATCTTCATGCCGACATTTTTCATGTTCATGGCAACTTTTTCTCGTGTCCGAGAATCCAGACTGTAACAATGGTAGGTAAAATATACTGAAATTTGAGAAGGATAAGTTCGGCAAGAAAATTATTAGGGGCAAAAAACTGTACCGGATACCTTCAAGCTCCATGCACAAGAGAAGGGTCGGAAGGGGAAGACGATGCCGTCGCAAGAGGTCCCTCTTCGCCCTCCGATATGGACAATACGTGCTCTCAGAAACTCAGTGATTTTGGTAAACTTGATCAAAATATCCTTAAAATGTGCCCAAATTGCTAATAGTGATACGGTTGTTGAGTTATTGTGATAAAATCTTATGAAACGATTTTCTTTTTGTCTCTGTGACAACTCGTCTGTTTCGAGAATATCTAATGCGCGTAGCTCACAACGCAATTTCTAGCTAATTGCCTATTTTCCAACACGGGCAGGTTATTCGGTGGTTATCAAAATATATTGTCGCGGAATCATCTAAACCTCAAGCTCTACTTTGGTTTAATACACCTTAATTATCTTGACTGGGCCGCTCGCGGTCGCGTCACAGCCACAGTCTCCTCCGTGTGCTGCGACCGTGCACGTCCCACAAATATCCAATCAACAACGAACCTAAAGACTACCACCACCACCACCACCACCGCTATCTGAAGGTATGAAATCTTGAACAGGTCTCAAAACCACCGCGGATTCTTCGTATTTTTAGGACCGTGGCACTGATTCGTAAGCGTTCACAACGTTGCCGTGAGAAGCGCTGCTCTGGACATGGTCAATGTGTGCTTCCTCTACCGGCATCCAGGTATGTGACCTTCTTCAACAGCTTCCAGCACACGTAGGAAAAAAGCCATTGGAAAATTCCATTTACTAAGAGTGGAGTTTAGGACACACTGTACAAATGGCTGAAAGTTGGGATACCTGCTGTCGCGAATCGCGACGTTCGCTCCCGAGGGAAATTCCTGAGAGTGTGCCGGTACTCACGTCTAACCACCAGTGTGACCAGCGACGACTTACCCGTGATCGCGCGGGAACACTGCCTCCCGAGTTGTCCAATTTCGTCTGTCTTCATGAGAGCCGCATTTCTCGTCTAATTATCGTTCGGCGGCTGACACTTGGAACCTCGGCTCTTAGAACTATCGCATCCTATGAATTCCTATGGTCCAACAGCTGGACGTGCCTCAAGCCCCCTCTTATGCATATGCTCGGAATTAGTCTCTAACAGGAAGTGTCCATAGGCAGTAAAGGACTTCCGCGGCCTTTGTCAAACTGAGCGTGGCGGTTTCTTTCGTAGGTCTAGTTTACCATACGCCTTCTACAAGTGGCTTGAAAGCAATTCTCGTGAGCGCACTTCACAAGTAATACAATTTAAAAATAGAATTGCCGTGCGCTTATTGACTATTGATTGATCTTCCTCCTTCCCTTACTGAAGAGCACAGAGGAGGGAGAATGACCTCGTTCAGTTTCCGTCTAAGGGCACGTGCGAAACGGAAACTGAAGCTACTTCTTTGGATTGACCCCCCTAATAAATTTAGCAAAAATAGTTGAGTAAATTAAAATTTAAAGTGACTTC